CAATCGGCGTGTTTAAGGGGGTTTTGGATGGCCTGGGGGAGGCCGCTGATGCTCATGATGCTCCCTTTCCTGGGTCCCAAAAGGCTTCCCAAGCCCAAAAACACGTGTTTACAGCGTTTTCTGAAGGTTTTTCGAAGGCAAAACGCATGCATAGAATGCTTTTAAGGCCCCCAAACCAACCCCACTGATGCTCCTGATGCGGGTGCGCGCGCGCGCGCGCGCGCGCGCGCGCGAGGGGGGGCGAAGGCAGGAGAAAGAGAGACAGAGAGAAGGAGAGGACAAAGACACGGGAAAGAGAAGACAGTGCCAAGGTTCAAGGTTTCGTGCTTTGGAAAACGGGGGGCGGGGGCCGGCCCGTGCCGCTAGGCCTGAAATTTAGGGTTTAGGGTTTAGGGTTTAGGGTTTAGGGTTTCGGGTTTCGGGTTTCGGATTCAAGGGTTTAGGGTCTGGGGTAGGGTCTAGGGGTTCCGGTTTAGGGTTCAACCGGCATGGCCCACTTCATCTCTAAGCTGCTCCACCACCAGTAAGCATGTGCCCCTATGTTCGCCTTTAGCCTTCCTTTTCTTCTGGGCGTTGTTTTGTGCGATTCCCTCTTTGGATCCTATGACACCGCCGCAAAGCATGCCTAGGGCTTAGGTTAGACCCTGAAACGTTAAAGCCCTAAAGCCCTAAAGCCCTAAAGCCCTAAAGCCCTAAAGCCCTAAAGCCCTAAAGCCCTAAAGCCCTAAAGCCCTAAAGCCCTAAAGCCCTAAAGCCCTAAAGCCCTAAAGCCCTAAAGCCCTAAAGCCCTAAAGCCCTAAACCCTAAACCCTAAACCCTAAACCCTAAACCCTAAACTAAACCCTCAGGATTAGAGCCCCAGTTTAGACCCCCAAAGGCGGACAAAAGATCGGCCTCGACATGGGCCGCTGGGCGAAAGCAGAGCAGGTTGCCTCTGCCGGCTTGTCTCTGGCACCCTAAACCCTAACCCCTAATCCCTAACCCCTAACCCCTAACTAACCCCTAACCCCTGAACCCTAAACCCTAAACCCTAAACCCTAAACCCTAAACCCTAAACCCGTGCAAAGGCTCTGATCATTACGAGCCCTGAACCAAGGTTTTGGATTTAGGGGTTTAGGGGTTTTGGGGGGTTTAGGGGTTTAGGGGCTTAGGGGCTTGGGGGTTTAGGGGTTTAGGGGTTGAGGGGTTGAGGGGTTGAGGGGTTTAGGGGTTTAGGGGTTTAGGGGTTTAGGGGTTTAGGGTTTAAGCCCGAACCCTGATCCCGACGCTGAGCCCCAAAACCTAAACACCTCAAAGCCTGAACCCCAAACCTAACTAACGGCTTGGGAGCGAGCGGCCCTGTGGTTGATCCCAAAGCTTAGGGGCCGGGATGCCCGCAGACGCAGTGCAAACTCACTGAGCCTTAAACCCTGAACCCTAAACTCTAAACCCTGAGCCTTACACCCTAAACCCTGAGCCCTAAACCATGAACCCTAAACCCTAAACCCTAAACCCTAAACCCTAAACCCTAAACCCTGGACCCTAAACCCTAAACCCTGAACCCTAAACCCTAAACCCTAAACCCCCACCCGCAGCCGGGCCTGAAGCCTTCAACCAATGGCCCCAAACCCTGAAACGTCCGTCCCCTCCTCCAGCTCTTCCAGGGAAGGGTTGCCCGCCATGGAGGAGCCTGAACTGTGCAAGTTTCGGTTCAGGGGCTTCGGGTTAAGGGTGTAGAGTTTAGGGTTTAGGGTTTAGGGTTTAGGGTTTAGGGTTTAGGGTTTAGGGTTTAGGGTTTAGGGTTTAGGGTTTAGGATTCAGGGTTCTAGGCTTCTAGGGTTATAGTGTTCTAGGCTTTTAGGGTTTAGGGATTTGGGATTCGAGTTTGGGGTTTCGGGGTTAGGGGTTTGGGTCTTTAGGGTTTAGAGCTTTGGGTTTGGGATTGTAGGGCGCCAGGTGGTGTGGACACGGTCAGCAGCTTGCTGCAGTGGATGCCCCTGGTTGATCAGGCTTCGTTGAGGTAGGATAGGGTCTAGGGATATTTCTAGAGCCCCAAATCCCAAAACCGAAACCCTAAACCCTACAGCCGAAACTTCAACCCTGAACCCTAAACCCTAAACGCTAAACCCTAAACCCGAAACCCTAAACCCGAAACTCTAAACCCGAGACCCTAGACCCTAAACCCTAAAACGTACACCCTAACCCTAAACCCTAAACCGTAAACTCTGACCCTAAAAAACGCTAAACCCTAAACCCTTAACCCCAAAACCCTAAACCCTAAACCCTAAACCCTGAACCCTGAACCCTAAACCAACATCCGCCCAGGATTTCGTGAGCAAACCACAACCCTTCCGCTGGCTGCGCCGGCCTTCGGCCGCTGCGCGGCTTCTCACTGCGTCGTACTCCTCCCGCACCTCCACAGGGCTTTAGGGTTTAGGGTTTAGGGTTTAGGGTTTAGGACTTAGGGTTTAGGGTGTAAGGTTTAGGCTAGCTCAGTTCGGAATTTAAACCCTTTGGATGT